ATTCCCAGCACTCAGGAGGCAGAGGCAGGCAGATCTCTGTGAGTTCAAGGCCAGCCTAGTCTACAAAGTAAGTTCTAGGCCAGTTGGAGCTACAGGGAGACCCTGTCTCAAAAAGACTCTACCCCCCAAACAAAAAACCCCAAACAAACAAACACACAAACAAAACACCCATACACATTTTTTTTAAAAGTCCAGACCTAGAGTGTCATTCTAGATGCTCTGAAAACTATCCAATCCTAGCTTTGTTTCTCTTTTCCTGGTGTATATTCAACTGAGAGAAGTTCCTTGGGAACTCCCAGAGCTCCCGTCTCTGCTCCTTCCACTTTCTATGTCAGGGGTTTCTGTTCCAAATCACCACCATTAAATTCTGACCATCTTCCTACCACATCTCGAGTCTCTAGAGAGGACTTTGTTTTATTTGAGCCCGTCTAGATTTGGATGTATGCAGTTTTAGGATATTTCTTAACTTCCTTATATTTTTATTAGTTTTTTAAAAGATTTTGTTTGTTTGAGGCAAGGTGTATCTATGTAGTCCAGGCTGGCTTCAAACTTGGATCCTCCTGTCTCAGCTGGGATTATAGGCACATGCCATGACACTTGGATGTAAGTTGTGTATGGATCTTGGAAAACAATGACCTTTCTTTATTGTAATTTAATCCCTAGAACTACCTAATGCATTATGTGGTAGAGAGGAGTGACTCAAGTTTGTTTTTCTTTGGGGCTTTGTTTTATATTCTTTGAGAATTTCATAGATGAATATGATATATTTTGATCATATCCACCACTGGCTCCCTCACTTCCAACTCCTTCTGGACTCCCTCCCAACATATCACACTCTCAACTTGATGTCCTTTTTTCTTAACCCATCAAGTCCAGTTAGTGCTACCCATATGCACATGGATATAGAGTCATCCACTTGAGTATGGGCAACCTACCAGTGGCCACACCCTAAAGAAAACTGACTCTTCTTCCCCCCAGCAACCATCAGCTGCTCCTCATCTAGGAGTAAGGTCTTGTGTGCTCCTCTCCATCCATATTAGTATGTTGATTGCCTGATCATGTGTAGGTGACAACAGTGCTGTGAATTCTTGAGTGTAATGGCCCTATCATGACTAGAAGACACTGATTCACAGCAGTCCTCTCCAGCTTCTGGCTTTTATAAACTTTCTACCACCTCTTCCATGATACTCCCTGAGCCTTGGAGGTGGAGAATGATATATACACCCATTTAAGTTTTGAAGGAAAGTTAATGTTTGATATAGCTAAAACAGTAAGTTGCATTCCTATTTTGGTGATCAGAAATGCAACCTTCATGTCAGGAAATCATTGCCTGTGGCTCCTTCAGGAAATCACAGGAACTTCTCTCCATCTACTCCAGAGGGTAGTGGGAGTAGGTACAGGAGCAAATTCAGCTTAGTCTTCAGATCATGGCACATTTGTTCTGGATGGGATCTTGGGGATCAACTCACCAGAGCCTCAAGTATTCATGTGGCCCAGAGAGGTGGATACCTGGTCCAGAGTCCCAGGAATGGTTAGTGGCAATTTTGGATCTACTGACTGGAGTTCAAATAATTTCCCCTGAGTAAGTCTTGTTTGACTTATGGAAAAGGAACCCTCTCTGCCCTTTTCTTAGTAAAACTTTTTTTTGAGACATGGTCTTGCTCTCTGTAGCCCAGGCTGATTTTGAGTTCATTGAATTCCTCAGCCTCTCAAGAACTGGGAATATACATGAGTCACCACCATGCCCAGCTTTATAAGTTTTCATTATGGAAAAAATGAGAAAAATCAAGGAGGATGCAAAATTTTAAGTGTCAGAACATCCAGGAGTGGGAGAAAGTTGGACTTTTGTTGAGTTGAGTCAGAATAACTTTGTTGGTGTCCTCTGGTCTGCTTAGTAGTATTTGTGCTATTTTTCAGAAGTTCATAAAGCCAGGTTTTGATCGACTAAATGGTAAGTACTTCTCTCATTTAAGAACTAATATATAGGGCTGGCAAGATGGTTCAGCAGGTGCTTGCCACCAAGCCAGATGAGTTCAAGCCCTAGGATCCACATGGTGGAAGGAGAGAACTGTCTCCCAAAAGGTTGTTCTCTCTCTCTCTCTCTCTCTCTCTCTCTCTCTCTCTGTCTTGGTCTCTCGCTCTCATTTGCTCTCTTGCTCTCTCTCATACACACACTTGAACACCCAAAAAATAAATATAATAAATATATTTGATGTCATAATTATCAATTTAATGCACTAAGTTCCATTTTTAAATTAGTTTTGCATATCATGAAATGTTTTCTTACTTTTTTGAATTGAATTCTAGTGGATTTTGATCATATTTAAAATCCCTTCCTTATTTGCACCCTCCTTACCACCCCTCACCCAATTTCATGCACTCCATTTTATATATGTAAGTATGTATGTATTTACTTAAGGCCCATTGAGTCAAACTTCTGTCTCAAAATGTCCTACAGTGTTGGTCTGTCCACTGGAGCCTGCTTAACCTACCCAGAGTCACATTCTTGAAAAAACTGACTGTCCTCTTGTCAGCACCTTGGGTTTCCAATAGTTCCTCAGATATGGTTGAGATCTCTTATTTTCCCATTTCTATAAAAAAATTTTTAAAAAACTAATATAGCACTAAATTCTCTTGTTACATGAGTGAAAAATAATCACTCCTGCTTTGTAAAGCCTAGGTATTTACTGTGCCACTTGGACATTTTTGTGTTACCACTTCATTGATTGAATCATTTTCCCTTGTCATAAATAATCATACCTCTTCATAGAAGAGAAACATTTTATATATAGAGAAAAATAAGTGTTAAAATGAAACCGTCAACCTTTTCCTGTAAAAATGTCATTCTGAGTTTTATATCTCATTCCTTATCCTACTGTGGTGGATCCCTTACCTCTCTTGTACCTCTGTGCTGAGAGCCATTTAGGATTTGAGGTTCTGGCATTATTTTCATACATGAAAGTAATTCAGTGTTGTAATATAAGCAAGAAACAAATAGCATGTACAGAAATAGCCCATCATTTATGCCATTTCCATAAAATAAAAAATACAACATATACTTAGAATTTAACTTAAAATGAGATTGAGACATCAAATTTTGGTCACTTTGGGGAAAAGGATTATAAAATATTTCAAATTAGTTTTGCATGCTTTAATATGATCTCACTGTCTGATTATCATGACCTGTTAGAATAAAATTAGAAGCCTTGCAATGAATGAAAATTTCCTAGTGGAAGTACATTTTCAAAATGTTATTTGAATACTGTATATAGGTGTTGATCAGGATAAGAGGAGGGAACTATAAGTACTTTTTGAGAAGATAGTTTGTACTGTTAACTACACGTTTTCATTCTAATACAGTAAGATGATATAATAAGAGTTTGACGGTTCTATAATTGCAGGTATCGCAAAGGATTTGAGCTCCAGTCATCTCTTTATTCGGGAATTAACCTTGCAGTTTTGCTGATCGTTGCTGGACAACAGTTTGAAACATCTATGGAACTAAGAAAAATAGGTAAGGCTGTTTGTTATTGCAGATATTGATGCTTTAGTTACACAAGTTTATCAGTAAAAATTATTTTCAAATTGCTGGGCAGTGCGGCACATGCCTTTAATCTCAGCACTTGGAATCGGAGGCAGGTGGGTCTCTATGAGTTCAAGGGCAGTCTGGTCTACTTAGTGAGTTGTAGGTCAGCCAGGACTACATAGCAGGACACTGTCTCCAAAAAAAAGTTCAAACAACTAGTGTTACTTTCCACAAGGAACAATCAGTTACATTCTAATAGCACACACAAGACAGCAACCCAGATAAAATGTCTGCTTGTCCTTTACCTAAAGTCTTGCATAATATGGCAGAACTAGAAAGATCTTTCATGGCTATCTAAAATTCATATCCTAAGGTGTCCGGCTGAACAGCTTGTTGGGAAGAAAAGGGAGCCTGGAGAAGATGAAAAATTACTGGGATGTGGGTCAGTTCTTTACTGTCAGCATGTTGGCAAGTGATGTTGGGAAGGCTGTCCAGGCAGCAGAGAGGTTGTTCAAACTGAAACCTCCGGTCTGGTAAGTCCCATCTCTATCTTGTCTTCACACATCTCTGTGTCTGAACTTGTTCTGAAATGTCTCGCTCAAGGAGAAATGTGGTAATGTGCCAGAATACCAACTGCATTTTCTTCTGACTTCATAAAAGCAGCTAGGACAGATGTGGGTGCCCAGAGGGCTCACTGCTTTCATGTGAAGGGAGGGAAAGATAGATGCATGTATGCACAGAGTATATCCCTGCAAACTCCATTCCTGAGTAGATGCTCTGTCCTTTTGACTTCTTTAGCTTGTTTTATGTCTTCAAGAATGAAACACCATTTGGTATTAGTATGTGTTATGCACTTATGAGAAAGCATATTGAAAGATCACACCAAAAATGATGTTCACCACAAAAACTTGGAATGGAAGATCAATAAAGGGGTATGATCAATACAATGATGACATAACAACATCCCGAGGTTAACCCGTTATTCAGCCATTTTTTATTTATTTGTTTTATGTGTATGAGTGTTATGCCTGCCTGTATGTAAGTGCAGCAGTGTTGTGCAGTGCCCACAGAGGCCAGAAGAGGGCAATAGATCCCCTGTAACTGGAGTTGCAGATGATTATTAGCTGCTATGTGGGTGCTGGGATTCAAACTCAGGTCTTCTGCAAGAGCATCCAGTGCTCTTAAGTGCTGAGCCATCTCTCCAGCCCCTATTCAGCCGTTTAACTGTACAGGAAAGAACACTTAAAAGACATGATGTGTATACATGGTTTTTCATAGACTGAGAAAGACCAGGTACAGGGTATATTTTTCTTCCTAATCTTTGGTGTGTGTCAGAATCATCTATGTTTATTAAAGCATAGATTGTGAGGCCCAACCTCCACTGTCTAGTTCCTAGGTCTGCCTTACAGCCTGAGAATTTGCATTTTCAAAGTACAAGCTGCTGTTGCTGATCTGGGGACTTCACTTTGAGAACCATTTTTATGTAGGATTCTATTTTAATTTAAAATATGTATTTGGTTTGTGACTTATAGGAAAGGTGTGGGCAATGCTGGATTTCCCCATAGACATGAAGCTCCATTAGAATTGTGGTTACCATTACTGGTTGCTAGTCACATAATGGATGCTCACATAATGCATAAATGATGAAGAGGAGTATTCTAGGAAATTTAGACAGTAGTTACTTCAGGAAGATGACCTTTCAAAGATTTAATCTGTTTTTTCCCTTGTCTGTGTTTTATAAAATAGATATCTATTTTGGGTTCAGTATTCTTTATCTGAAATACATGGAACCCTAAGTGTTTGAAATTTTGGGAGTTTTTGAATTTGGGAATATTTGCATAGACTTTACCAGTTGAGCATCACTAACTCAAATCTGCACTACTTCAAAAACCAAAACTTTTGAAATTCATTTGTCGATTGTTCAAAATAACTTTTATTGTGTCCTTTTTCTCTATGGATAATCATGCACCAATTTGATCTTACCCCATTACCCTTTCCCATCTCCTCCTCCCCCTGGTTCCCTTCCTTTCCCCAAATAGTACTCCTTCTGCTTTCAAGGCTTTTTAAAGCCTAGATTTCCCCACATGAGAGAAAACGTAATAATTTTTCTTCCCAAACCTGGTTTATTTTGCTTAATCTGGTGGTCATTCCATCCACTTTCCTGTGAAATAACATAATTTTATTCTTCTTTATAGCCAAATAAAAGTCAGTCGTATATATATATATATATCACATTTTCTTTAGCCACTCATTTGTTGATGGATACCTAGGCTGAGTCTGTGATTTGCTACTATGGATAGTGGTGTAATAAACACTGATGTTCACGTATGGTACTCAGAAAGTTTTGGGTTTTTGAACATGTCAGATTTCTGATTATCTAATTAAGGCTCACTGTGTACTTGCATATTTCAAAAATATTCTAACGACCCACGTTTACCTGCTGTTTCTTACTTTTGGGTTCAGTGGACCAGTTGGATTCTGGGGGTAGGAATTTCTTCAGTCATACCTTGCTTGACCTCATTTTTCCTAATCTGTGGGGCCTAACATTAGGCTCTCAAAGCATATAAAGCTTTGGAAGTTATCTAAGACTGAGTAAGCACAGCCATGTTGAGTATCCATCTTCACAGAATGGCTGCTGTGTGCAGCATCCTAATCTTAAGGTACATTGCAGCATCCAGACCAGATAGAACAGACTCCAGAGAGAGGAAGCTTCAGGGTTAGATTCATTGCCCTTACATCAGTACCTAGACTTGATTTACAGTGTTATTGTGCTTACTGTCAGGGGTTCCCAGTGCCAAAATCCACACTGAGACTTAGGATTTACTGGAAGGACTCAGAGAACTCAGAAATGCTATTATGTTCATAGTTCTGGCTTGTTGCAATAAGAGGATACAGATTAAATCAGTGATGGCAATAGGTACATGGGTCATAGTCTAGAGGAGACTATGTACAAACTTCCAGTTCTCATCTCTCAGTGGAACTACATGCACAGTGTGTAATTTTCCTATCATCAGTATCAGGTATGAAGTGTTTCCAACTAGGAAAGCTCACTAAGCCTTGATGTCCAGCTTATTTATTAGGGGTGAATTATGTAGGCACAGAGTGTTCATGTGGCTGCTCTTAATATCTAAGTCTCCAGCCTCTCCAGAGGTCAAGCTGATATGGCACATGGACCAAGGCCTCTACCATGTGTCATATTGTTAGCATAAGCTGTCTAGCATGGTCTAAGGCACCTGGTAAACACATACTTAGCAGACAGAATATTCCAAGCTCTTAGGTTAGTGTTAGTATCCAGACAAGGGCCAGACCTTTCTGAGGACTGTATTGAGCGTGGAAGATTAAGGTTTGCTGAGTAACTAAGCAGGTCAGCTGGAGTCCAGCTGGTCTGCCTCCCCAAACAATGCTGTACTTTATCCTCAAAGAACAAAATAGCACTGGGATGCTTTCAGATGAACCATCCCTATTTAGTCCCAGAGAGGATGTGATCACCATTGCCTGACAACTATATTTCAAAAAGTTCAATTTGCTTGAAGACAGAAAAGTTATGGGCAGAGTCAAGGCTTCCTAACATCAAAGCTGGCCAGATTGTAAATTTTTTTAAGTAAAAGAAAATGAGTTTCAGATAAGCAATTGCTTATCTGGTGGTACTGGTGGTACTGGTGGGTCTGGTGGTACTGGGCATGGTATCATGTCAATGGCAAAATTGTGGTTATGATACTGTACTATTTGCAAGTTGTTGTCACTGGAACATACTGGATCAGGGATGTATAGGTTCTTTCTGTACTATTTCTTAAACTGAATGTAAATATAAAAATACCTCAAAATTAAGTTTACTTAAAAATAAAACCACAGAGAGTTTGACATATCCTCATTTTGTAATTGCTTTTACTTTTGAGCTACATGCTTTTGTTTTCAAAACAGTTATCACATGCTTTCCAAGTACTATAAATAGACACTATGTACTGAAACTTGGTCCTAGCCAAAAGGCCAAAAAGCAATGGACAGTGTGCACTAAAATTGAGATTTATATCAATGTTATTAAAAAGCCGTGTCTCATAATTTTGTTGGATTTGTTTTGTGTGCTGTTGGCATTTCTTATAATTAGTTCTGTGGTTATTCTGTGACTGTTTACAAAGAGCTTATGACAAATACAAATTTAAATACATAAAGCTTAGGGGAGCTTCTTTTAAAGGGATTAGAATTGATTTCAGTTTCTTTAGGAATCTAACTTATGGGGTTTATGAATTTTCCAGGTATCTGCGGTCATTAGTTCAGAACTTGTTGCTAATTCAGCGCTTCAAGAAACCCATTACAGAGCATTCACCCAGACAGGAACGGCTTAACTTCTGGTTAGATATAATTTTTGAAGCAACAAATGAAGTTACAAATGGACTCAGATTTCCGGTAAGATATGCTAAACTCATGATTGTTGTGTTGTTCCTTTCTTTAATTGCTGGTGCAAGGGACCGAACCCCAGGGCCTTGCGCATGCTAGGCGAACACTCTACCTCTGAGCTACAGCTCTGACACCTAATCCTTTTCTTTAAGATAGACAGAAGAAACTAGAAATTCATGCTATGTAATGATTGAATGCTCTCAAGGGAAGACAACTGTAAATGATAGCACTTGGATAACTATGCCGTGTAGAATCAGCAAGTGATAGATCAGACTCTAAGGGACAAGTTGGCCATGTATTCTCAAATAGTGGCTCTCAACTGAGAGTGATTTGCTTCCTACCAAGGGACATTTGGCAAAGTTTGGAGACATTTTTGGTTGTTACACCTTGGGAAATGATGATGTTACTGAACACCAATAGGATAGAGGCTAGGAAGGCTTCTAAATATCCCCTAGTGCACAGCATAACCCCCAAGAATTATCACATTCATTAGGACTATGGTGAAGAAATCCTGCTCTAAAAGTGTTGTACATGGAATTTATAGCTGTGTCTTGGTAAGCTTTGGTTTGCCTCCAGTGCCACTAATTAATATTTAAAATTTTTATTGAAAAAATAGAATTGCTTTTAGCTTTTTCATTAAGTCTTTGTTTCAGTTTTGTGGTTATCTCATGAATAGTCACAAGTAAGATATCTAGGTATCCTGGAAATTACACTTGAATAATTATGTTTCATATTTATGGTATGAGATATTCTAGATACACAGTTTCCAGAATATTATTAAACACTTAATAAAGTATGTACTTGTTAGAAATGATTATAATTATTTTGTTTCTGAGAAGTAATTTAAAAATCTTCTTTTAATCTTGAAATATTTCAAACCTGAAGGAACATATAAGTAACAAAACAGGTACCTGTGTAAGCTCTTAGGTTTATCATCTTAAACATGTTGCTGTTTGGGAGATTTATTCGTTCTCTTTTGCTCCTTCCTCCTACATCTTTACCTGCCCTCGTTCTCTCTACTTCCTTCTCTTCCTTTCCCTTCCATACTCTTAACACCTTACTGGTGGAACTATAACTCTCTTTTCATCTCTTTGCATGTTTACACACTTGATAACCTGCTGGCCATCTACTTCCTTATTTCACTCAAAAACTGTAACAACCTCCTTTCTTCTGTCCACCCTATGTGACGAAGCCTATCTCCTGCCTTTTGCTGTACTCTCTCTCTCTGGAGTGTTTTGTAGCACTGAATTGTATAGGCTTATGCATTTGCTGCTCTGTGTGCCCCAGTGGAACACAGTCCTCCTGAAGACAAGGGCTTACTTACATGGCATGTTATAAACCCAGCTCCTACAGCCCTGCGTGGCATAGTTGCTGCTTAGTATTTGATGAGTTACAAATCTTCCCACTTCTTCACTGGGTAGGTTACCTGTTTCAGCTTGCTATGTTTTATAAGACTCTGCTCTTATTCAGGTTCTGATAATAGAGCCAACTAAAGTCTACCAGCCTTCTTATGTCTCTATCAACAATGAAGCTGAGGAAAGAACTGTTTCTTTATGGCATGTCTCACCCACAGAAATGGTAAGGGGAAATTATGACTAGTTCTTTCTTCTGTATTATTTAATCAATGGTTTGATTTTCAAGTGGGAGAGTTTATGTGGTAGTATTAGAGGTAATATCTATGCTTAACTTCTGAATTAGGAGGCTATATAAGAAGGTTTAATCACAGATGAAAGAAGGGAGCGTGCACTGTTTTTATGTATGTGGACTCTACATACATAGGGGGCATACGTGAGAGTTTGTAAGTGGATGTGTGTGCGTTTGTGTGTAATAGATATAAATATAAAACAAGTACAGTTTTGCATTTTCAAATGTTAGGCCGTAAGAAAGCAGATAAAGTATATGTAACAATCCTCCACATTTTCAAAACTTGTCCCAATTCCTATCCCCATCTCCAGTGATTCAGTGGATGAACCTGCATCTTTTCTCCAAAACTGACTCATATGTGCATAATGTACACACACACACACACACTACAGATTTTGCACAGCATACAGCATATATTTATTCTGTGTAATATTTAGAATTTTGTATTTTACTTTGTGTGTGTGTGTGCGTGCGTGCGTGTGTGTGTGTGTGCGTGCGTGCGTGTGTGGCACAACACACATGTGAAGGTCAGAGGACCACTTTGAAGAGTTCATTCTCTCTTTCCACCCTAAGGATTTGGGGATCAAACTCAGGTCGTCAAGTTTGTGCAGCAAATGCTTTTACCCACTCAGCCATCTCACTGGCCCAACATCCATTTATTCCTTTGTGACTTGTCTTTAAAGATTTCCATACATGATGGACAGTTTTTCACAAAACACATACTGATCCACCTGATTTTTAAAATGTCATATTCCATAGGTTTCCATATCATATGGTGTATTTCTTGGTCTAGATGAACCTATTTATTTTAGGTTTTTCTCAGTGATACACAGTGAAATATCTCATTTTTTACCCTTGCCAATAACATGCTAGTGTATATCCTGGTGGCTCTACCTCCTGTACTAGGAGCACAGATGGGCTTGCCGGACTCAAGGGTATGTATGCTTAGAACTTTGACAGTTACTATCAAACTTACACTAGACCAGTTTGTATGCATACCAACAATACAGGAGATAAGCGATTATAACTGCCCATTATAGAGATTACAGAAATGCTGAGCTGGGTCTTTTGTTCTGTAGTAATAGCGGTATTTTCATCTCTCTATCTAAAGTGCTTCATCTGGTTTCTCTTTCATAAAATTTTCAGTAATAAAGAAACATAGCACCTCTGACAAGCGCATTAGATAGATTTATTTGCTGTGCGTGTGTTTCCATGGAGTATGGGGAGATTTTTACCATTAGCTTGGCAAAGGAAGATTATTTTTCTTTCTGTTAGCAAGAATGTGAATGATTATGTTATAATCAGGTAAAAATAAGCATTATCTTCACAAATAAAATACAACATTGTAGAATAAACAGAGGCTCAAATTCATATTAAAAACACCTTATATATAGCCAGGCGTGGTGGCTCATGCCTTTAATCCCAGCACTCGGGAGGCAGAGGCAGGCGGATCTTTGTGAGTTCAAGGACAGCCTGGTCTACATAGTGAGTTCCAGGACAGCTGGGGCTACAGGGAAACCCTGTCTCAAAATGACCGAAAAAAAACAAACAAACCAAAAAACAAACAAACAAACAAAAAAACCCCACCTAATCAGCTATAGTCAAATCTCAAGTGAAAGCCAGTGGCCTTGACTAATATTTAACACAGGAGCACTCTTCTTGTTGAAAACACAGTTAACAGCCATTAGTGAGGATGGGCTGCCATAATGTGCTTGTGTTTTTCCTGCACAAAGTATATTAAATATTTGAGGGCAAGAGATACTCAACCTATACTAAAATATATACATGACATCCATATAGATATACATGATTTGAAGAGTGCACGCATATTTTATTTGACTTGCTGCTTCTTTTTGTTTGTTTGTTTTTTGATTCAACTAATTTTTATTGAACAGCAAAGGTCAGTGGTTGGGATATCAAAAATGAAAGACCCGTTCCTTACTTACAGAGCTCCTTGAGCCCTGACTCAAAATCTTTTCACTCTAAGTTAACACACAATTCATAAGCTGGCCACTCTTGAAGGTGCAAAGACTTTGTTGTTTGTTTTGTTTTCTGAGACAGGGCCTCCTTGTAGCCCCAGCAGACCTCTAAGTGCCACCTCCATGAAGCACCCTGTCCTCAGTTTGGATATTCCGGCCCAGATACTAAACTTCCTTTTTATCTTTGTACTGTTGATGCTACTATCAGTACAAGAGAATTCTCAAAGTTAAAATCCATAGTCTCATATGTTCATTGAACTGGATGCAAAACACCTCACATTGTGAAAGAAGGTAATAGAAAAAAACCTAATGCTCTTAAAACAAAATGGTTTTGATCTCTTAGAATTCTACCATCTTGGCCCCACCTTATTTGAATCCTGGAATGGTCGCTGGCTCTTATAGAATTTTCCCTTGGTATATATATCCCAGTAGTTGTAAATATCTTACTTTGTATGCAGTCTTAATAAGAAGCAGAAGAGAACTACACCCATAGCAAATGCCGGTTCTCCTTGACCAAAGAAATGTTTTGCACATATTCTTATATACTTAGCAGAGGAAATGTCAGAAATACAAGTTGCCTTTTACTTTCAGAGAAAGCCTTTACATTTGCCTCTATTTGCAATTTTGAAATTCTGCAAACTGTGAAAATTAAGCAGATTTTCCTAGAGTAGGATGACATTTTTCTATACAGTTGCATTTTTTCCTGGAGGGCTACATATGGGAAGAGAATACTCATTGTAATCAACTTCATGTAACATCACTATAAAATAAGATTAAATTCCTGGCTTATTAGTTGATGGCTGAAACTCATTGGAAGTAGGGAGGCAGCAGTGCACTGGGTGATGTTGAGCAGCTACCTCCCTTGGACTGTTAAATGTGTGATATTTGCTGATTTCTATGATCTATGTCCCAATGACCAATATCAAACAACCTCAAGACATCCAAGTGGATTTTCTTAAAGTTATTTTTCTCTAGTTATGATACGTTTGGCACCAGAGACTTTGACTTTTCCAAAACTATTTTAAACATTGATTCTAACACTTACCTTTATGCAAAGTTTAAGGGTAGGTAATGGTGGTAGAGAGAAGGGAAAATTGTTCTGAAAATCAAATTTTGGTACACAGTGAAACCCATTAATTTTCTCTTGTTATGGTAGGCCAGCTGCTAAAACTATCCCTAGTCTCAACATCTTAACATGATGAAACTTTGTTTATAACTCATATCAAGATTGGAAGGAAATCTCATTCCATCTTGTAATAACCAAGGGAAAATTTTTTTTTAAGGAGGAAATATGCAGGATGGGAAAAGTACCCTTTTTAGTATTAGACCTGGCTGACCTGCAAATCAGATGAAGTGAGTCTTGAATTCGTAATGATTTTCTTACTTTTGCCTCCCTAGTGCTGGGATTATAGATTTGTGCCCTTATGCCCAGTTTCCTGAGAGGTTTTCATGGGCCAGACCTGCAGGTGTTGTGTATCAGTCCTGCTCACATCCCATTGGCCAGAACTCCTCCATATAGCCTCCTGTAACTTCAAGGGAGGCTGGGAAATGTAGTTAGGTTGTGTGCCCAGGGAGAAACTGAGGTGAAGATGAATGAATTTTTCCAGTTTTGCTTCTCCAAGTATTTTTACAAATCTCTAACTTAGAGGGGCTGTTCCTAAGCCTGTTTTAGTGTTTGCCTACTGTGTTGACAGAAGATGAGAGACTACTCACTGTATGTTTTTGTGTGCTTATTATATCTACCTCAAGTTGTTTCAAATTTATATTGTTTGCTCTAAACTGGATTACAGACACACATAATTTTTTAAGGGCTAGAAAGTTAATTTTTTTAACTTAAAAAAAACTTTATTGAGAATTTCATACATACATATAAGGTGTTTTGATCAAATCCACGTCCACTCCCTCCCCTCCAACACCTCCCATATCTCCCCATCACTTTTTTCTGACAACTGCTTGTTCCCTCCCTCCCTTCCTCCCTCCCTTCCTTTCTTTAAAATGGGGCTTTTTGCTACTTTAACATTCCCCTCTCTGAAGAGGTAATCCTGAAACCTCTAAGGGATTAGATAAGAGCTCCCAAATACTTTCGACATTTTTGGCCTTTGGAACAGAGTAGGTTGCTAAGAGGCCCAAGGACATTTTGACTTTTTGCCAAGAAACTGGCTACTTTTCTTTGGGGTCTTTTTTACCCTAACTGCCTAGCCAATTCCTACCTCTTATTCTTATCACACCATCCTCTGAAGAGGCTACTCAAATTGCTAATTGGGAATCGGGATGAAGACCGCTCGGGCTTCTTCCATGATGACTAGGGAAACAGGGTAAGGCAACTGGAGTACCCCTTCAGTGGATCTATCCAAAAGACTCACAAATTGCATAACTCTTATCTGTAGAGAGAAAATAAAGTCATTGACTGGTGAATAGGGGGTGTGAAAGAGAAGTAAAGGCAAGAGTAAGTAGCATTACAAGTTCTAGACAGGGAACCAGAAAAAAAAAAGTCAGAACAGAGCATATTTCAAATGTTCATATCAGAGTCCATTGGGATTTCTTGACGAGAGCTTCCAAAAGCATGCCTCTTTTGGGTTCCTCATTTTTCTTTTGTCTGCCAAATATTTGGTTATACTTTCCTTTTGGATGTTTAAGACCATACAGATGGCCCAAATAAACCAATTTATTTTTACTCTTAAGGGAAGTGTAATCCCTTGAACTCTTAAAGAAATATACCAATCACTTTAATATTTGGTTATACTTTCCTTTTGGATGTTTAAGACCATACAGATGGCCCAAATAAACCAATTTATTTTTACTCTTAAGGGAAGTGTAATCCCTTGAACTCTTAAAGAAATATACCAATCACTTTAATATTTGGTTATACTTTCCTTTTGGATGTTTAAGACCATACAGATGGCCCAAATAAACCAATTTATTTTTACTCTTAAGGGAAGTGTAATCCCTTGAACTCTTAAAGAAATATACCAATCACTTTAATATTTGGTTATACTTTCCTTTTGGATGTTTAAGACCATACAGATGGCCCAAATAAACCAATTTATTTTTACTCTTAAGGTTGTTGGAGGATCTGTTCCTCAGGGGTCACGTGGGCTTGGGAGGAGCCCCTGGCTCCTTTCTTTTACCAGTTCCATCTATGTGAAGATAAGTCAAAGGTCCTATTCAACCATGGCTGGCCTTCCCTTGGAAGCATGGAGGAAAAGTTTCTCTGAATTGACCCTCCTCTTTGTAGATTGGACATTGGTTCAAGTCCATCTGGTGGGGTCTCCATGGCCTCCCTGAACAGGAGGACAGGTGACTCATCACAGTTACAAGACATTTTGAGAGATTCTCCATAGGGCAAGGAGCAAAACCTGTCCTTTAAGTCCCTCTGACCAGATTAGTGTAGGCCTCAAAGTATGGCTGTTAAACATCCAAGAAGGTTAGTTCCATCAGTCTGGTACTTTTAATTACCATCTGCTATGTAGATAAAGCTTGAGAAAACCCCAAACGTTCTCACATGTATTTTGTTTCTTAAACTAGTTGACTAAACTATGACCTTAGAAATTTTAAGATCATGTGTATATTATTTTTGTCTCATCCTTTATATATTATTTTTATATGTCAGAAAATGTTATTGTACATTCTGAGTTAATGCAGAACATACTGCTCTAATCCCTGATCACCGTTAACATTTTGGTTGTTAGCCTTAGCCTTTAAGGCTGTGCTGTCCCTCCAGCCCTGCCCTGATCACCATTGAAAATAAAACAACAGATATGATTGACTGTAGAATGAAACCAGAAGTTATCCTTTATTGGAAAAAATGAAGCAAGCTACTGACTTCTGTTTTTGATATTTGCAGAAACAAATCCATGAATGGAATTTTACGGCCTCTTCTATTAAAGGAATAAGGTGAGAATAGAAGAGAAAAGTGTAATTATTGTTTTAATACAAATAATGATGGTGTTTAATGGACTTCAGTGTTTCAACTTATTCATAAGATGTAATGTTCTTATTTCTAACAGATCCTAAAATAGCCTTTTCTGTTTTGTTGCCCCATCTGAGGTTCATAATGTGCTGCTAATAAGAGCCTCTTGGCTTGTTATAATAAGCAAGTTTTTCTCATCTCACAGAAGAAATACTTAAAAGTGTATGTGTTGACTGAACAAAGAATATCTTTTTCAATGTTCAAGTACTCAGCCCCCCTCAAGAGCTGAAGCCAGGAGTTACTTGCTTCTGTTTCTTCTGTGGGACCTTCTGAGCAGAGCATGGAGGCAAGGATATTTGTTATTAGGGAGGCAGATGGTATATTCCAAGGAAAAATGTGCCACTTACTTTTAGGAACCGGGAATGGTGAGGTCTTGTGGCTTCCCTAAGCAAGGCTAACACACCTTAGCTACCTTCATCAACTTCCTAGGAAGTTTGTCCAAAGGTGGGAGTGGCCGTGAAGTGAGTATGAGTGCTGTGTGACATTGTAAAATCATTCAACCTTTCTACGTCTCAATTTTTTTTCTGTTTTTAATCAAATCAGGGACTGGAACTTTCAGTCTTTTCTCTGAATCTATGACTAACTCAGATGCCACTGAATGAACAAATCTCCAGTTACCTCCAGTATGATCCTGTCTTGAAGACATCAGTGTTTAAATGGGAATGATGTTCATAGAGCTCAAAAGGGAGGGATGTATGTTAAGTACAGAGTAGTGTGCTTAGATAATGCCTACTAGAAATCACAAGAAAATTGAAGACTCCTAAGCATTTCAAGACTATATTACTTAGCCACAAAGTGCAAGAACTTGTAATCAAGGCCTTCTGTTTGTATGTCAGATACAAATGGCCATTTCAACCATCAGTGGGGCTTCAGGACTCACATAACACGACAGGCATACTTGGGGTCTTATGGTAGTTCTTTTTTTATAGATTGTGTTCAAAACTGGTTTATATATAACCTAGCTTTAATTTGTTCTGACTCATCCTGAACTATTGCTGTTTCAATACATTATTTTTTGTGTCATCTATAGCATTAAGATTAATTTAAGAATTTTTGAATCTATTGGGGAGCTGAAGCAGGAAAATTCTGAGTTCAAGGCCTGGCATGACACAACACAATAGATCACCTCATGCATGCCTTATACCCATGGAGCCCAGAAGACGGCATCATATCCCCTGGAGCTGGAGGTACTGATGGTTGGGAGCCACCATGTAGGTGCTGAGAACCAAACCCAGGTCTTCTGTAAGAGCAGCAAGTGTTCTTATCTGCTGAGCCATTTCTCCAGTCCCATATTTTCTACCTTTTTCTATTGTCCTCATTTTTGTCATCCTGAATATAGAGGAAGCTCTTGATACATGTCAGTTAAAGTCAGTTGATAAATATATTAGCAAGAAAAATGGCCCCGATTTTTAAATTTCAAAAAGGAATAAAAGGAGTATAATGGAAATATATGTTAAAAGATTAATGAATCATTGGAGCTGGAGAGATAGCCCAGCAGTTGAAAACACTTGCTGCTTTTCTAGAGACCCTGAATTCAGTTCCCAGCACCCACATCAAGTAACTCATGACTTCGGCTCCAAGGGATCCAACTTTCTCTTTTGGCCTCCATGGCACCCACACACATATGGCACCCACACAGAAAATAAAAATAATAAAAATAAATGGTTTTTTTTGGTCTTTTTGAGACAAGGTTTCCCTGTAACCCTAGCTGTCCTGGAACTCACTATGTAGACCAGGCTGGCCTTGAACTCACAGAGTTCTGCCTCTGCCTCCGAGTGCTGGGATTAAAGGCGTGCACTACCACGCCCAGCTAAAAATAAATGTTTTTAAGGGAAAGATTAATAGATCAAGAACTTACAAAATGAATGAAAATCTGTTGCTAGACTTTCTTTTTAAAAATTAAAATTGGGGCTGGAGAGATGGCTCAGCAGTTAAGAGCACTGGCTGCTCTTGCAGAGGCTCTGGGTTCAATTCCCAGCACCCACATGGCAGCTAACAACTGTCCCAGAGGAATCCAATGCCCTCTTCTGACCTTTGTGGGCATTCCAGGACATGGGTGCACTAACATACATGCAGGCCATACACGCATACATAAAATAAAAATAACAAATATTTTAAAAATTGAAATTGTTTTCTTACAAGCATCCTTATGTTTTGAAATTTTACAGCCTATCCAAGTTTGATGAACGGTGTTGTTTTCTTTATGTCCATGATAATTCTGATGACTTTCAAATCTACTTTTCCACTGAAGACCAGTGTAATAGGTGAGTTATAGCTGATTCAGGTATTGGAAATCTATTTATGGCAAATCATTTTTAAAGGACCTTTGTTGTGAAAAATATTTACTTGCTGTGCTATCTTTCTTGAAATATTAATCTATAGAAAATTGTCTCTATAGCACTGAGATATAATCTACATACCTTGCAACCATTCGAAGTACACAACTTAATGACTTTGGTATATTTACAGACTTCTATAACCATCACAGTGTAATTTCAGAATCTTTTTATTGTTCCTAAAAGAAACCATGTATCAGCTCTCATGCACTCTCCATTTATTTCCACTCTCACCACCTGGAACTTCAGCCATAGACGGGTACCAGCATACTTTCTATGGATTGGTCTATTTTCTGTACATACTGTTGAATGCTATGTAGTCTTTTGTGTTGGCTTCTACACAGTATAGTATTTTCAAGGTTCTTCCATGGTGTACTATACTCAGTACTTTGCTGCTTTTTGTGGCTGAACAGTACTCCGTTCTGTAAGTATGGTGCATTTTACTTATTTGTTCATCAGTTGCTGAGCACGTAAGATACTTCTAGTTTCCCAATTATTAATGGATTTTGCTTCTGTGTACATTCACATGCAAGTTTTTGAGAGTACATATGATTTTACTTTCTGGCATCAAAACTCTGGATCTTAAGGTAACTATTTAGCCTTTTGAAGAACTGTCAGATTGTTTCCCCATTTTACATTCCCATTAGCTGTGTGTGACGATTCCAATTTCTCTGCCTCTCTGTTCTTTTAGTTATGACCATCCTAGTGGATATGAGTTTGACTCTCACTGTGAATTTGGCTTACATTTCCCTAGTGATGAATGATTCTGAGTTCTTATTGGACACTTATGCATCCCCTTTGAAGAAATGTGTATCTAGCTTCTTTGCCCATTAAAAATATACTTTTTAATTTTCAAAAATATTGAAACTAAGAGTTTCCATGAATGTTCTACCCAGAATTTGTCAGTGTTAATCCTTTCCCACTTTCAGATTACATTGTTTCTCTATGCATATGGATTTGTTTTTTGAACTGGTGAAGAGTAAGCTGTGGAAACAATGCTGCATTATCTCTAAAGACTTCAGTATGCTTCCTAAAGCCAAGGAATGGTCACTTATGTCATTATTATAGTTTTCTAATCAGAAGTTAAGATGGTATGGTACTATAATCTAGAAACATTGTCTACCTTTTACTTATTGTCCTCCTAATTCTGTTTACAGTGAAACAGAACATTTTGCCTTTGGTTCACAGTGCTATCCACCGTCACATATTGCATTTAGTTATTGTGTCTGTGTTGCTGACTCCTTTCATCTTGAAGAGGTCATCATTGTTTGTCTTTCTTGACTTAGTTCTTTGAAACAGAGTACAGGCACCATATGTGGTGTAGTCCTTTGATTTAGGTTTGTTTTCTGTTTCCTCATAATTATATTTTTGTGATGTATTTTGGGTACAAATAGTACAAAGTGATACTTCATGTTGCTTAGTGCTTGATACCAAAGGATACTCAATAACTTTTGTGTCATTCCTGGTGATGTTAACTAGGATTAACTAATGAACATAGCGTTTATTCATTTTTAGTTGGGCTATTTGTCTTTTTGTTAAGAGATATTCTCCATGTAAATTCCTTATCAGATACAATTTGCTAATACTTTCTCCTATTCTGAGTTGTTTTGCACTTCAATGATGGTATCACTCATAGCACAAACATTTAAAAATGTTTTATTGTGATTTTTTGCATTTCATATAATAAATCTTAATCAAATTTAGACATACTCCCCCATCCATGCCCCTTCAGACCTCCTGACTGGATTTCATGCATTCCTTCATATATGTTAAGTCCTGTCTGGTCAAGCATTTGTACCCAGATGTCCCTCAGTGCAAATTCATCCACTGGAGTCTAGTCAGCTTATCTAGAGCCACTCTCTTAAAGACTGTCTACTCTCCCTCACTCAGCAGTAATCAGTTGCCAGTAGTTCCTTGGCCTGCTGCCTTTTGTCCCCATTCTGTGCTGGGTTTTTGTCTAAATGAGTTGGTATGGGTCTTGTGCATGCTGTCAACATTGTTGCATGTTCATATGAACAAGTGCCCAGTGGCCTGAAAGCCTCTGTTTCCTTATGTTCATGCACCAACCCTGGTTTAGTTTAGGAGTTCTGTCCAGAGACACTCACTCCACAGTCTCTTATTCTCTAAAACTTAGCCAGTTGTGGCCTTCTGTGTGCATTGCACGTTGTTGTTATGCTATGTTCCATGAGCCTTAGGTATAGAGGTTCCACTGTAAATGTGTCACTTAGGGTTGGGCATCTCTCAGATGTATATTCTCTGTAGCACAAACATTTATTTCTGATGAAGTTCATCCTATTTTTTGTCACTTGCACTTTTGAATCATATTGAAGAAGGCTTTAGGGGCCAGAGAGATGGCTCAGTGGTTAAGTGTGTTTACTGCTCTTGGAGAGGACCCAGGCTCAGTTCCCAACACCCACATCAGGTAGCTCCTAACTGCCTATAACTCTAGCACTAGGAGCTTGGATCCCCTTTCTGGCCACCATCGGCACTGCACATACATGGTGCACATATGCACAAGCAGGCACACACACACACACACACACACACACACACAAATGAAAATATGGTCTGTGGTTCTTATGTTTTCTTCTGGGAGCTTTATAGGCTTAGCTCCTGTACTTAGGTCTCTAATGCATTTCAATGAAGTTTTATTACATTTTATTTATTGTTGGGGGACATGTATGTACCATGGTGTTCTTGTGGAGGTCAGAGGTCAACTTGTGAGAGCTGGTTCTCTCCTACCATGTGGGTCCTGGAGATTGAACTTGGGTCATCAGGACTGACAGCAAGCGCCTTTATCCACTGAACCATCTCACCAACTCTTTAATTCATTTTTAATATAGTGTAAGATAGGGATATACATTTGTTCTTTTGTATGTGAATATATGATTGTCCTGGCACCATTTATTGAAAAGATTATTCTTTTCCTCATTGACTGGTCTTGGCATTCTTAGAAAATGGATTGGTCATAAATTTAAGAGCTTAGTTCTAGACTCACAGTTATATTCCCTTGTTCCGTGTATCTATCCTTTTCCAAGTACCACATTTTATTACTGTAGCTTTGAATAAGTTGTAAAATTATGAAATGTGAGCTTTGAATTTTGTGTTTGTTTTTCAAAATTGTTTTGGTTATTGTTCTACAATGCTTGTATTTCCATTTGAATTTTAGGATCACCTTGCAAAGTATTGAAAAAAGGCAGCTAGAATTTTGACAGGAAGTATGTTGGAAATACATATGAATTTGGAGAGTATCACCACATTATTAGGTTGCTTTCCAATCTATGCTCATAAGATGCCTTTCTATTTATTTAGGTTTTCTTAAATTTCAACAGTGCTTTGTAATTTCAGTGTATAAATCTTGTACTATTTTGCTAAATATATGTCTGAATATTTTATTGTTTTGATGTCATTGTACATAAATGCATTTGATCTTTGTATATTGATTTTATAACCTGCAATCTTGCTGAACTTACTAGTTTTAATTGGATTCCTTAGGGTTTTCTGTCCACAGTGATGCCATCTGCAGGTGTCATAGTGGGGGTCCTTCCTTTCAACTTAGATGTCTTGATTTCAACCTAGATGTCTTTATTTCTTTATCTTGCCTAAAATACTGGCTCTCTATCTGCAGTATGGCATGTAAGAGAAGTGGCAAGAACTGACTCTTGGCCCTGATCTTAACTGTTGCTTGGCAACAGTTAATATTATCTTTAAATTTTAAGAGAAAAGCAAGCGATTTCCTCATTAAGTATGATCTTAACCAGTTTTTCCATAGACAGCCTTTATCAGGTTGAAGGGTTCCTTTTATTCCTACTTTGAGTGCTTGTATTATATAATTTGAGAAAATTTTAATCGAGTGTGTCTCAATTGCTATCACAACATATTTAGAGATCAGAATAAATACAAAATCCTTGAGTTATAAGCTTCAAATTGCATAAAAATGCTGCCAAATATTGGGCAGAGAATCATTTTACTACAAAGTTTACTGTTTTGATCCTCATTTAGTATTCAATGGCTTTGTATCATATATTTAATAAATTTTAATTGAAATATGTGATACACATTAGTGTGTCAAGTGCACTTTAGTATACAGCTAGATACACATCTACATATATCGGTACCCATGTGCCTGTCTTTCATGTCAGCACCCAAAAGTGCCTTGTGCTCCATCCCAGTCAGTAAACCCCTTTAGTGATAATTACTTTGATTTCTATCACCAGGTTCCTTTTGCCTATTCTTTACCTTCAAATAAATAGAATTAGGTGGTTTGTACTCTTTTGTCCTTCTCTTTCCCTTAAAATAATAGCCATGTGATGACAGCCATGCTGTTTGTTATCTGTTTTTCCTTTCTACTTCTTTTGGCAGGTCATTGCATGAACATACAACAATTTATTGGTTCTCCTACTAATGAACATTTGCATCATTTCCATTTTGAAGCCTTGATAAATAAAACTTCTGTGAACAATCTTACAGATTCCTTTTGATGAACATATACATTGATTTCTGTTGAGTGTATACCTAGAAGTAGAATATTCTATTATAGGGGCGGCTTATATTTAGCTTGGGTTTATAGTCAGTGCCAGTGGTTTTCCAAAGTAATCTCATGAATCCTACTAACAATGTATGAGAGGTCTAGTTGCTCCATCTGCTTGGCAAAAATTAATATTATCTTTAAATTTTATTCTAGTGAGTGAAAATCGGGTGTCTCCTAAGAATTCTGATTATCAGGTTTCCCAGCATTCAAGTACTAGAAGAAGAAAAGGTGGAATGAGTTAGAAAAAAAGAACATTGTAATGTTTTGTAGAAATTATTCTCAGGTTTACACAATTCTTCCCTGCCATCTTAACAGGATAAAACTTGTCACCTGGGTCAAGATATTGTGTATGGAAAAGAAACAACTACATAGGACTAGGAAGGGGGCCCATGTGGCTCAGCATTTGTGAGAAAGATAGATGGCTAATAGTTGATCTTTGGTTTCATGTTTGTCACTAGAATGATGTTAGCACTTTGTGCATTTCCTCCTTACCTCTCCCTTATACAAGACCTATCTCACGTAGAACTGGACTGCCCATGTCTTGAGAGGGGAAGGGAAGGCCCCACTTTTCTTAGCACTGATTGGATTGCCTCTGGAGTGCTGGTCTCAGAGCCAGACTTGAAAAGTAACATAGGGAGGGATGCATTTGGAAAAAGACCTGTTGTGGAGTGACTCACTGATAACTCCTGGGGGACTCAGTAAAGGACAAGAAGAAAATACTTAGGAGGACATGATAAAAAGATGTACATTTCTAAAAGGTGCTGTTAGATAGAGGAGGAATTGATTCTCTTTTTAACTTTCAATTTTTAACTGGTACACAAAATGATACATATATATTTATGAGATACCACATTATGCTTCAATAGATATGTATTATGTAATGTTCAAATTGGAGTAAATTGTCTTTTACAATTTTTCATTTCTTTATGGCGAAAGCATTCAAAATTATTCCTAGTCATTTTGAAAATTAGAGTACACCCAGGCATGGTGGCTCAATCCTACAATCCCATCACTCAGGAGACTGAGGTGGGAAGATTGTCACAATTTCTAGGCCACCCTGGGCTGCATAGTGAGAGCCAAGCCAATCAGGGTTATGACTCAGAGATACTGGCTCAAGAAACCAAATAAGGGGCTGGAGAGATGGCTCAGCAGTTAAGAGCATTGACTGCTCTTATAGAGAACCCAGGTTTGATTCCCAACACTCTAGTTTCAGGGTCTCCAATGACTTCTGACCTCCACAGGCATTGCATGATATGTATGGGTGCACTTACACACATGCAAGCAATACATTCATACACATACAAATAATTAAAAGATTAATAAAAAGAAACCAAATAAATAAATGAAAAATTTAAATGCAGTACATTATTATGTGTAGTTACTCTACTATACAGAGACCACCAATACTTCTTTTTCTAACTATACATAGTCCAGTACCCATTAATCAACTTTTGGTATTTCTCCCTGTCCCATACCATCCTTTGGTAACTACCACTCTACTCTGAACTGAAGCCAGCCTGTCAATGAGACATCTGCACTCCCATGTTTATTGCAGCACTGTTCATAATAGCCAAGAAATGGAAGCAACCTAAGTGTCTATCAGCTGATGCATGAATCAAGAAAATGAGGTACATATACAAAAAAGGAGTTACTCTTAGCAGTCTGTGGTTGGAACCCACATAAAAGAGTGTAGGGGCTAGAGAGATGGTTTCAGTTCAGGGGCTGGAGGGATGTCTCAGCAGTTAAGAACACCGACTGCTCTTGCAGAAGGCCCGGGTTTGAATCCCAGCACCCACATGACAGCTAATAACTGTCAGTAACTCCAGTTCCAGGGGATCCGACAACCTCTTTTGTCCTCCGTGGGCATTGCATGACAGGGGTGCACTTACCTACACGCAGGCATAACACTCATACACATAAAATAAAAATAATAAAATATTTTTAAAAAGAAGTCTTCAACAGAAGAGAAACACTTCTTGTTGGGTTGTACATATGTGCTGCGTTTGGGAGGTCATGGATTCTCTTTTGCTAGAGGTGCTTAGGCATCAATTGACCAGCCAGTTGGTAGAGGTACTGTATATAGAGGATTCAAGTATCCCATAAGTGCTGGAACTAGATTAGGTAATCACTAAAGTGTCATGTCAAATCAGGAGTGGGTTAGTTGTCCTTGATGTGTATAAGTTTGGTTTATGTTTAAGTACAGTTTAACACAAGGTTAAATTAAACAGGAGCAAGAGTGATCCTGATGGACAGTATCTTTGTGATATTTGCTATTCCAGGTTTTGCTCTTTGGTCAAAGAGATGCTAAACAATGGAGTGGGCAGTACAGTGGAGTTGGAGGGAGAGGCTGATGGAGACACCTTAGAGGTAAGTCACAGAAGATCTAGAACTTGGAAAATGTTCTTTAATGTGCTTTTGGTACTTTAAGAAAATGTCCCAATTTTCATATAAAAATCCTCTATTGAATCTATTTAAAGATACATTTGATCCAGTTAGCCACCAGTGTCCATGGTTCTCAGAGATTAAGTTTAAAGTACCTCTGTAGAAGAATATCATGACCTTGGAATTTTCTCAGTCATAATGTTTAAGAAAAAGTAGCCATGGATTACACTAAAATTTTCTTTTGTGTATAACCTACGAAAAAATTTCCTAAGTTAACAATATTTATAAGGCTCCAAGAGAAATAGTTGATCAGCTGAAAATGTGCTTTTGTATTTATGCCCCAAATGATTTTAGTTCTATCTTCTTGAACATAGCATATTAAATATAACAATTTTAAAATCATTTTTTAAAAGCCACATTATCATAAACTCTTTTGGACAGCACAGTAGTAGTCTACAATTACTGCGCCATTTATATGTATGTTTAAATCTTATAGTTATTCAGATTTTCCACTAATTCAAGTTCTCCCAGTGATTAAAATTTAATGAGATTTTACAATACTTTTGGAGTTAGACTGAAATGAATTTCTTGATATTTTCTTCAGAAGATATCAAAGAGATTTTTTTAATAATTGAGTCAGATCTAAGAATTATTAGGTTAGCAACAAGGTTTGTTGAAGTGAATAGAATGATGCCCTTTGAAGGCAACAGATGTTCAACAGAGAAAGGTATGAGATAAAGTCTTTATGAAATAGGCTGATTTCTAGTGAAATCAGACAATGGTGGAGACCCTTAACTCATCTTGATTACATCTTAATTGTCATGAGCATCCTTAGAGGTAGACAGGAAGGGATATACACATTATTCTGTGTAGAAACTGCTCTGGGGTAAGTAGAAACAGTGGCATGTACTAAAACCCAGAAATACCCATTGCTTTCTCTCTGCTTTAAATAAGTGCTTCTTAGACTGTAATCACCTGTTTTAATCATTAACAAGAATCAACTTGAATGCAGCTGCATGCAATGGCTTTTGTTGCTTTAAACGTTATTCTTGTGTGTGCACGTGATGTGGGGGGGGAGCATATGTGTAGCGGTCAGAGGATAACTGTGAAGGCAGTTCTCTCCTTCCTCTTTTCCATGAATTTCAGGTGTCAAACTCAAGTTTCAAGGCTTGCACAGCAAATTTCTTTCCCCACTGAGCTATGTCACTGGCCCAATTATTTCTTTTTAAGACAGATACTGTAGTCCAGGCTAGCCTCAGTCCATGATCTTCTTCCTGTAGTCTCCAGAGTGCTGGAATTACAGGCATGTGTCACCACACAGCTGGGCTGCAACAGGTTGTGATAAGATTGGGGGAACAGCTAATAATACTAATTGTAAATTGTATTTGCAGTATATGCTAGATTTATATGTCTGAAAGAAGGGCGAACCCCCAACATGCATATTCTATATTAAGACAATGTTAACTTTTACTGACTTTTAATTCTTTCCTGGGCTATTGAAAGAGGTTTGTTTCCCGACAAGTTGATAAGGGATCGTGCAGGAAGATACCAGTTTGTGATACTTAACATACTTAGAAACAGTTTTAATTGCAGCATTAAAAATAGTGGAAACTCTCCAAAAGGTGAGCCAGGTAAGTTACAGGTGAGCCAATTTTTTTTAAACTTTATTGGATTCCATTTCACAAGATCGTTCTATAAATACATCAACAAATGAGTCATTATTAAATGAAAAGTATATAACCTAAGAACTGTGTTTTGCTTGACACTCAAAGGATAACTTTGGGGCTTTTCCTTTACAAGTTGTGTCTTTTTCCTGTTGTTTTACCTTATTTAGTATGAGTATGACCATGATGCGAATGGGGAAAGAATTGTCTTGGGGAAAGGCTCCTATGGGATTGTGTATGCCGGCCGAGATCTGAGTAATCAAGTACGAATAGCCATCAAAGAAATCCCAGAGAGAGACATCAGGCAAGTTGCGACTGCCTTCCGTGTTCTACATTTGGTAGCTCAACACCCTGTATCCCTTGCCTACCATTGATGGTGTAGAGGATGTAATGATTTAAACTGTGTCAACAGAATGATGTGGCCACCTTATGTTGTCATAGAGCTTCTGATTCTCTTATTATAAGGGTGATATACTTTTGTTCTATGTATATTATATATAAGTAGATTGAGAGACTCAAACTACTTTATGGATTACAGAAAGTCATATTTCAAAAGAAAACTGTATTTCTATCCATCAACTATGTCTGAATTTTTACATTTTATGTCGGTATTTGCAAATATTTAAAAATGTGACTGAGCAATTTTTTTCTCTTTGTTTTTCAGTGCTGGGGATAGAACCCAGGTCCTCGAGCATGCTAGGCAAGCACTCTACCACTGAGCTACATCTCCAGTCTTGTCTGAGTGCTTTTAAATTCACATTGTAACCATTGAAAATGGCTGTGATTTGTTTGGCTATGTCACTATAGACATTAAATGCAGCAGTTTAAGAAATCAAAGTTTCACAACACAGACTTTTGTTAACACTGTACCCTTCAACCTCACCTGTAGATTTGGGGCTATTTTCCACCATCAGTACTACAACTGGTTCAGCACTTTATTCCCTACTAAATGTTCATGTTTTAGAAAACTAATATCCCATCTAAATCTAAACAAGAACACAGCACTGTTCGCTGTTGGGTGATTCTGTAGAGAGGCTATGTGCATAATCATGACCACAGCAGAAATAATCATCCATGGGCCACAGGTGCATCAGCCATAGCTGCAGTGTTGCATCCAGCACTGGGTGCTGATGGATATGTGTTCACATCCTGCTCTCTTAGGTGATCACTGATTAAGACTGGGTTGCACAGGATTCCTACCAACTATGTCATGCACTAATTTGCTCAATTTTAGTGGGATAGCATAGTATTATATGAATTATAAGAAAAGACCTAAAATGAACCAATCTGATTTCTTCATGTTACTAACATGAAAACCAAAGTTGAGGGAGATTTAAGGACTTGCCAAAGTATGTATACGAACAAGTTGAGGATCCGTGTATTCCTCATGCAGTATTCTCTCATTCATGTGATAAATATGGCATTGCAGTTGCATAAATTTGGGGGAAAATCCTGGCCTGTGCCTCCATTGGTAGTACTAGCTGCTCTAACTTTCCATGACCAATATAAGTTCATAGGATTTTAGAGCTGGAAGTTGCCTTTTAGTCCATTTTGTCCAACTCCCTAAATTTACAGGCTGAATTTATGGTGCTTCAGCATGGCATGTTTTCTACCCTTGAGTATGGGCTAGTGCTGGAGACTAAATGGTAATTAGGATACTGTCCTGATTGTAGGGTGCTACTTTGGTGGAGAATGCAAATACTGTACCCAGGAGTTAAAGTGATGAGTGCCAAAATAGACTGGTACACAGAGTGTTGTTAGAAAATGTGGAGAAGCTGGGTGTGGTGGCACCCGACTTTAATCCCAGCATTTGGGAGGCCGAGGCAGGCAGATCTCTGTGAGATCTAGGCCAGCCTGGTCTGCATAGTAAGTTCCAGGCTAGCCAGAGCTTCATAGTGAGACCCTGTCTCAAAAACCCCAACAATAACAATAAGTAAATAAGTAAGTAAGTAAATAAATAAATAAATAAATAAAATGAAGATGGGGAGCTGACTTTTCCTAGATGAGTTGTAACATATTTGATAGAATAAATCATCTTTGAGCTGGTCTTTGAAGACTAGGTAGGACTGTGGTTGCAGAAAGGACACCTACGTGAGAGAACAGAGCTGTTAAGAAAGCATATTCAGAGCAACCAATTTTTGCTATGTTTGAATGTAGAATATGGACTCTTGAGGCAAAAATTTGAAAAGGTGTCATCTGACCTGACTTTGAAGGTCTTTGGGTAACACATTAAACAGCATGGTGTTTATGTGGACTCTATGAAGGAAAGTGGTAGAATGGGGTGTGTGGTTAAAAAGAGGTGATCCTTAGTGGTAGAAATAAAATGTCCAATGGCTTGGCTAGGTAGCTCCTTAGGTGTAGGTGACTCTGTAGAGTAAGACTAAAAGTCAGCCTAGGACCGAATCTTCTAAACCACCAGCTTCTGTGGGAAGCAGACAGGGATTATTGAAAGAGGTTAAAAAAAATGGTTGGAGAGTTAGGCACTAGCTACAATGATAGTAGAAAGGGCAGCCATTAATTGAGTGCTTAGCACGTACCAGACACTCCACCTATTCCTGAGAAACATGAAGCAGCTTGGTCCCCTGGAAGCCCCACATGACTGTGTTATAGACTGAATATTCCTTATCTGAAACTCTTAGGACCAGAATTGTTTCAGATACGAGTTTTTCCAGATTTTGGAATATTTCTGTATACATAATGAGGTACATTGGGTATAGGACCCGAGTCTAAGGTCAGAATTCCTTTATGCTCCATGTCTCCCTTATACACATAGCCTAAAGGTAATTTTATCTTATACTTATTTTGCCTGCATTTTGACACAGGGTCAGGTGAGACATTCTCTACTGGTATCATGCTGACACTCATAAAGTTTTAGATCTTGTAGCATTTTAGATTTGGGGATTAGGGATATTCAACCTGTATCCCCTGTTTTACAGATGGGAAACTGAATAATGTCATAGAAGTTAAGGAAGAATTTCTGGAAGTGGTGGTTAGCAGTAGAGTGGGTACTGGTAAGGGATCAGGAAGGCTGAGTGCCCTTGGGATTTGGCAAGTGATGCTGGCTTTGGTTTTCTCTGCAATAGGTACTCTCAACCTCTGCACGAGGAGATAGCCCTGCACAAGTACCTCAAGCACCGCAACATTGTCCAGTACCTGGGCTCTGTTTCAGAGAATGGTTACATTAAGATATTTATGGAGCAAGTACCTGGAGGTATGCATTTGTTGTCTTCTGATCTCATGCTCTGAAAATCACTCGTGAAAATGCAATATGAACATCATTGATTGTCTTTCCATTTAACAAATGACAGACCTTTTAGAGATTAGAAAACATTGGCTTCTCAGAAATTGAATACAACTTTGCAAATGTCACATAAACAGCTTATTTCTGATTTGTTTAGTCCCCCTGCAAATACTATCCACTTAATGCCAGTTTTGGAGGCAACGAGTTGAAGAGAGCAAAGTCTCTGGCTTTGTGGTCTGGTCTTTGCAGTCTACTTTAGAGGTGGTTTGGAAAGGGGTGGAGAAGGGACACATTTTTTGACAAGTGTGTGTGTGTGTGTATGTATAATGCATTATCATCCACATTATCCTCTGTTACCCCCCTCACTCCTGCTGACCACCTAGTTCCCAACTAGTTCCCTTCTTTCATGGTGTGTGTGTGTGTGTGTGTGTGTGTGTGTGTGTGTGTGTGTTCCACTGAGTTTAATTAGGGTTTCTTGAATGAGCATGGTTAGTTTTTTGTTTTGTTTTTCCTGGAGCGCTGAAGAAAATGACTCCCCCAGTACACACAACCATCAACTGCCAATAGTTCTTCAGGGAAAGGTGAGGCCTCATCAGCCCTCCCTCTTCCATGATGGAATGTTGAAGGGCCCAATCTTGTGCAGGTAACTTCAGCTGCTGTGTATTCATGGTTGCAATTGCCATGTCATATCTAGAAGATACCTCATCCTCTAGCTCTTATGTTATTTCCGCACCCTCTTCCACAGTGTTTCCTGAGCTTGGAGAGGGTGATGGGGATAGCCCATTTAAGATTGAGCACTCAACAGTCAGTCACTCTTGGGACTTTGACCAGTTATGAGCCTGCATTAACTGCTTCTCAGTGCCAGATGAAGCTCTTTTGACTAAGTCTGAGAGCATCACCAATCTATAGATATAAACACTAATATTTAGAAAGATAATAGTAGTAGATTCCCATCTAAGACTTGTGATCTCCCCAGTCTTAGGCTTTTGACCAGGTTTACAGTACCAGGCACGCATTTCCTCTTGTGAACCATGCCTCAAATCCAATCAGAAAGCTATTAGTTATCCCAAATACAGTTATGCCAGTATTGTACTTGTGGGTATATTGTGCCTATTAGGTCAGTACTGTAGTACACAGGATCCATACCTGGTTAAGAATATTGATGCCTTTCTCTCCCAGCAGCCTGAATAGCACCTTCTGACACTGTGAACACTAGCCATCAGGGAAGAAGCTTCCAGCTCAGTTCCAACTTGATTTCTTGTGTCCTGTAACCAAAGTGTGTGGTGCCTTCAGCAATAAGATTGTACTATCTAGTAGTGGGCAACCAAGGTCAATGGCAATAGCCTATATTGTTTTGAAAGTCTTTGGAGCCTCCCTGGCTACCAGTTCATTGGGAGGCATCCCTACATTTGACACTGTGATTTTGTTTAAAAACCTGTGGCTTCTGGGAGCAGCATTATCCACCCATGCAGGGTACCCTCCTTCAAATTATTTTTTATTATGTTGTTTAATTTATATGATTGTTTAGTTTATAAAGTAATGGGTTTCTTCATAGATTTTTCATGCATCCTTAGTTTTGGCTAATCCTTCCCATCTCTAATTTCCTTCCACTCCCCCCACACCCATGCCCCTTTAAACATTTCATACCATCTCCCCGCCACCCCCCTACACTTTCATATCATATGGGACACGGGTTTTTAAATGATGTTGCAAAATAATTCATGGATAATAAAATCAAACCTCTAGTACTTTATGCACAAAATCTCCACATGTTGACAATAGAATACTGAAAGCAAAAGAGTTCTTTGGATCTGAGGTGGGCTATTACTTTGAATGAGTCCAGCCACTCAGACTGTGGGATCTCAGTTTTCTGGTTCAATAAATCAATTGTAAAATTGGAGTAATAACTACTGTGGTAATTGAAGTAAAAATTATTGGGCTATTAATAACCAAGTCTCAATCAGTTGGTGGGTGGGATAAATGAGATAATACAACCAACGGCTTCTGGAAAAGTGTCTGGCAGTGGGCAGGAGCCCAGTAAGTAAGTATGTATTGAAACCTTGAAATGGTAATAAAGTTCCTAATATTTTCATTAAATAATTATTATTATTATTAACACCAACATGAAGTTTAGAAAAATTACTTCAGTTTGCTTCCCTGACCTTTTATAATTGAATATTTGCCATTCTGGTGAGTTTTTTTTTCCATGTTCATTTCTAGGAAGCCTTTCTGTTCTCTTGCGATCCAAATGGGGGCCAATGAAGGAGCCCACTATTAAGTTTTACACCAAACAGATCCTCGAAGGCCTGAAGTACCTCCATGAAAACCAGATAGTGCACAGGGACATAAAGGTACTGACTTCTCTAAGCCACCGAGTTGGTGTTTTTCTGATCAATTGGTATAGTAAGGCAGAACGTCCTGCTCACACTGGGAGACAGTTTAGTGGGAGAGCCTTTGTCCCCACCCCACATACCAAGTCCGGTCTTTCAAGAGACCTCAACATCCCACTCTATGTGGTGCTGGTTCCTTTCAGTCTGCCTTTAGGTACTCAGTGCTGTTCTTTTTCCCAAGGGTGATAATGTTCTGGTAAACACCTACAGCGGAGTCGTGAAAATCTCTGATTTTGGAACCTCTAAACGCCTGGCAGGAATTAACCCATGCACCGAGACCTTTGCAGGTAAGCAGGGCAGAGCTAATCTTGTGGTGGTCATCTTGGAGCTAAGCTTTCTCCTTAAGCTGTGGTCATCCAAGAGCTACTTATTGGGTGACTTCTTGGCACAGGGTGGCAGTTGATTCTTAAAGTAGGTGATGGATTTCCTTTGACGTTAAAGTATTTTAACCTTGTTACAGTGACATACTTCGCCAGCTGTTTGTGGCACCAAGATTACACTACTTTCTTCGTGGCCTTGCACAAGCTGGATAGACAAAGGCCTCTGCTTGGTCTCCTAAGGAGTCTTACCTAGTCAGTAAAATGGCAGTATGTCATAACAGTTGGCAGCATGCTGGTTAAAATCATGAATAATTTTGTGTAACTTATTACAGCATTTTATTGGTCTATCATAAAAAAGGGGAGGCAGAGGCAGGTGGATGTCTGTGAGTTCAAGGCCAGCCTGGTCTGCATAGTGAGTTCCAGGACAGCTGTGGCTACAGGGAGACCCTGTCTCAAAAAGACCAAAATATAAATAAAAATAAATAAATAATAGCTCTTTACTTTAGTGACTTCTGGCACTTGGTATTTTGATATGATTGTTTCCAAAGGAGGCTAATTCTTCTTGGGAAATAGGTTATTTTATGTGGGCATCTTCTTTTCCACATGTTGCT